TTTTATTATATGGAAGTTTTTGGTTCACTTTTAACTACTGTCTAACATGAGCATAGCCAGACATTTAGTAACTTCTATTACTCTGTTCTATCTGTGTTTTTAATAGAACATAGAGATTACTGGGTCTCTATGGATACAAGGATCCTTTGCTTTCGTACAAAAAACAAATGAACACAATATGCTGATATTAATGTATGATTTCTATTAACCTTTTTCCATATTACTGTCTACTTTTAGAAAATGCAAACAAATTAGAAGAAACTGCAAGAGGAGTACATATTTCCTGTTCTGATGCTTATGACGGCTACTGTAAACATGGCAAATGTGAACATTCTACTAACATGTTGGAACCTTATTGCAGGTATGAGTTTCTAACAGTGAATAAATCAAATAATAGAATTCTAGTGCAAAATGCATGTTCATTACTAAAAAGTTATCTCCACAATGTAATTAAATAGAAACAATAAAAAAAAAATTGTGACCTTTTTCTTTTTAAAAATTATAGGAATGGACTGCCTTGAGTTTATATTGAACCAGGTATGACAAGTCTGTAGTCACAATAGTAACATAACAGGTTCCTCCAACTTTGCAGCAATCTTTATTGTTCTTCTGTAATATAACAATCATTGGCAATACAGCAACATTCTCTAATAGTGTATTGAAACACAGCAGCACTCTCTAACATGTCAGTACCTTGTACCATGCATTTAAGTCTAAATCGACAGACTCGTGTATGTGCCTGTTGTCATAATATACGAAATGTCTACATTCTAAGCATATACAGTGGGTGTTTCATATATTACACTGCTCAAATAAAGTTAAAGGAACACTTTGAAAACACATCAGATTTCAATGGGGAAAAATGTCATGCTGGATATCTATACTGATATGCAGCGCTGAGAACAGATATTAAAAGTAAAAACAAAAAAAATATATATATAAGTGTATGCGCTAAGGAGCGCTTTAAGTGATACAAAATAGTGGTATTGTCTAATTATGACGTATTGATATGGTGAACATAAATATAACGTGAATGAATAAAGTGACATTCAGTGATCATTGTATGACATAATCAAGTCCAAATGCAAAAGATGATAAATATATAAATATAAATGAAATCCATGACTCAGTGACTGGAAGCTTTTGTATAATATTGCACTAACCAGGAGCACAATATATAAGCGTATTTGTGTATATAAATCCTGTCATGGTCATCTGGATACAAATGGGGGAATTACGAATCATCTGGCACATGTCAGCACGTCAGGTGATCAGCAGACCTCATTCACAGGTTCCAGGGGCATCCCGTCCTAAAATAACTGCCTGTCTCCTGGAATCTCCTCCATGCTCTTGAGACTGTGCTGGGAGACAAAACTTCTGGCAATGGCACGTATTGATGTGCCATCCTGGAGGAGTTGGACTGCCTGTGCAACCTCTGTAGGGTTCTGGTATCGCCTCATGCTACCAGTAGTGACAATGACCCTAGCCAAATGCAAAACTACTGAAAAACAGTCAGAAAAGATGAGTAGGGAAAAAAATGTCAGTGGCCTCCACCTGTAAAACCATTCCTGTTTTGTGGGTCATCTCAATGTTACTCATCTAGTACACCTTTTGGTAATTTCATTAACACCAAAGCAGCTGAAACTGGTTAACAACTCTCTCTGCTACTTACACCAGGAGTTTAATTGACTTGATGCTATACTCTGATTAAAAAGTGTTGCTTTAATTTATTTGAGCAGTATATGACCACTTGTAAAGCTGTGAAGAGTAGGTTGTGGTTATGAAGTAAGTATTGGACTGCAGACACTGACTTGTGCAGGCTATCTATTGTCCCTCGATATTTCTTCCCAGTGTCCACTGGTTAAAGCATGCCATTGTGTATATCCCAGAGTGCAACAACTATGGAATTAGGTATGTTAAGATTAGTGTAAGGCAGGGACAAATGGCCCTTGTTTTTCACATTCTGCCAGACAAGCAAATATGATGAAGTAGAGTAGAAAGCGATTGCATATCCTGAGCATAATAGGTAAACAAAGTAAAAAAGTGAGCGCTAATCAGTTCAGCAGCTGTACATTCAAGGCAACCAGTAAAACCTCAATAAATAATATCAAAGAAATAGTGCAGCGCTTAAATCAATAGTCCTCAGTTATTCCCGATCAGTGGATGTTCCTCAATACGGAATGTAAGAAATGCCCACTCACCAGAACCACACTTGATACAGTGCAGTGTATAATAGTTATTCCCTGGTGTCACTGGAAGTGTACATCTGGTTCAGCCCTTGGAAGAATATCCCTCTTTAGATCAGACAGGTCCAGGGTCACAGCAAATAAGGTTCCAACACAGAGTTCCCCTTAAGGGATGTGTGGGTGTTACTTTTGCAGCAAATAGAAACCTCCCACTCTGGATGGAATCGGAGTAACACAGCTTAAACGACAATATAGTCAAGGCACATCATAAAGAACAGCTGGGTCAACACCTCGCTGAGTAACAGTCCGTAATAGGGAGTATAGACATCCAAAAGGCTGACTCGTTTCGAGGACTTGCCTCTTCCTCAGAGCCAGAGGAAGCTCTGAGGAAGAGGCAAGTCCTCGAAACGCGTCAGCCTTTTGGATGTCTATACTCCCTATTACGGACTGTTACTCAGCGCGGTGTTGACCCAGCTGTTCTTTATGATATGCCTTGACTATATTGTCGTTTAAGCTGTGTTACTCCGATTCCATCCAGAGTGGGAGGTTTCTATTTGCTGCAAAAGTAACACCCACACATCCTTTAAGGGGAACTCTGTGTCGGAGCCTTATTTGCTGTGACCCGGGACCTGTCTGATCTAAAGAGGGATATTCATCCAAGGGCTGAACCAGATGTACACTTCCAGTGACACCAGGGAATAACTATTATACACTGCACTGTATCAAGTGTGGTTCCGGTGAGTGGGCATTTCTTACATTCCGCATTGAGGAACATCCACTGATCGGGAATAACTGAGGACTATTGATTTAAGCGCTGCACTATTTCTTTGATATCCTGAGCATAACCAGAAATGTTGGGCAGGCTTAAATTAGCTTCTATTCATATTTGGGTTTTCTGTAAAACAAAACATTTCCTTTTAGGTTTCCATTTAAGCTGCAATTTATGGTTTATATGACCAGAGAAAGAACACAAATAGCAAGCAAACAAAATATTTTTTTAAATTAATTTCAATATAGTGTTGGTTTCAAAACATTTGTCCATTTTAAAATCAGTGGAGAAGAAATTTTGCCATATATGTCATTTTTTTAGCTCAAAAGTTTGCATACTCTTTGGCATTTACATTGAAAATATGACTGATCATGCCACAAACTGTCTTTTATTTAAGAATAGTGATCATATTGAGCCATTTATTATCACATGGTTGTTTGGCTCAAATTTAAATCATAACGATAACAGAAATCAGCAAATGGCCCTCACCAAAATTTTATATACTCTGGAATGTTTGGCCTTGGAACAGGCACACAAGGTGACACACACAGGTTAAAATAGCAATTAAAGGTTAACTTCCCACATAAATTGCAATTAGTGTCTGTGTATAAATAGTCAATGAGTTTGTTAGCTCTCACACGGTTGCACTGAGCAGGCTAGATACTGAGCCATGGGGAGCAGAAAAGAACTGTCAATGACCTGCGTAACAAGGTAATGCAACTTTATAAAGATGGAAAAGGATATAAAAAGATATCCAAAGGCTTGAATATGCCAATCAGTACTTGTTAAGAAGTAGAAAATTCTGGTATCTCTTGATACCAAGCCAAGGTCAGGTAGACCAAGAAAGATTGCAGCCAACCTAGAAAGATAACCTGCAATATTTAATATTTTTGGTTTGGGGTTTACTACTGCTTTAAGTTACTACTTAGCACATACATTAACATGGTCTGCTAAACCTGCTATGTATAGAATGATGACAAGGTCACTTATAGATTTAAATATAGATTTGTAGACGTTTGTCATGATTGCCATCAGCTTAAAACTGATTGCACATGTTCATCTTGTGGCACACAAACTGGTATTGATCATATCTTTGCTCTTAACATTATTTCTTTGTTTTTAATGTTCTTAACCAGGGGTCCTCAAATTACGGCCCGCGGGCCACATGCGGCCCGCCGAGCACATTCATCAGGCCCGCCGGCAGGGGACACTAAGTACAGGGGCGGGCAGGGGGCTGCTGTCTCTTACCTGGCTACAGTCCCACGACGATCCAGTCCAGGATGTGCAGCTCCTTCACTCCGGTCGCTCCCTCGATGTCCACGCTGCCGCTCAGCTCCGCCTCCTCACCGGTGATTGGGCGCCAGTACTGTATCTCAGGAAAGGCACACAGGCGGCCAATCACCGGTGAGGAGGCGGAGCCGAGCAGCCCCGCGAAAATCAAGGGATGGAGAGGCCGAAGTGAAGGAAGGAGGACAGCTGACCGCTCGGTAAGTGTGCCGAGCAGATGGTACTGCTGCAACCAGGTATGCTGGCTGCAGCAGCACCATGCTGGAACAGGGGTCGGCTAGTTAAGTGTCATTGCTGTCAGTGGGAGGAATAGTGCCTCATCATTGGTGTCACTGATAATAATGATGGGGCATTATTCCTCCCACTGACACCAAAGATGGGGCACTATTCCTCACCCCACTGACACCAACGATGGGGCACTATTCCTCCCCCCACTGACACCAATGATGGGGCACTATTACTCTCATTGACACCAGTGATGGGGCACTATTCCTCCCACTGACACCAATGATGGGGCACTATTCCTCCCCCCACTGACACCAACGATAGGGCACTATTTCCTCCCCCACTGACACCAACGATGGGGCACTATTCCTCCCCCCACTGACACCAACGATGGGGCACTATTCCTCCCCCCACTGACACCAACGATGGGGCACTATTCCAACCCCCCCCCCCTGGCACCAATGACATACTATTCCTCTCACTGACACCAATGATGGGACACTATTCCTCCCACTGACACCAATGATGGGGCACTATTCCTCCCACTAATACCAACGATGGGGCACTATTCCTCCCGCTGATATCAATGACTGGACACTATTCCTCTCACTGATACCAATGATGTGGCACTATTCCTCCCACTGACACCAATGATGGGACACTATTTCTCACACTGACACCAATGATGGGGTACTATTCCTCACACTGACACCAATGATGGGCACTATTCCTCCCAATGACACCAATGATGGGGCACTATTCCTCTCAATGACACCAATGATGGGGCACTATTCCTCCCACTGACACCAATGATGGGACACTATTCCTCACACTGACTCCAATGCTGGGGCACTATTCCTCCGACTGACACCAATGATGGGGCACGATTCTTCCCACTGACACCAACGATGGGGCACTATTCCTCCCCCCACTGACACCAACGATGGGGCACTATTCCACCCCCCCACTGGCACCAATGATGTACTATTCCTCCCACTGACACCAATGATGGGACACTATTCCTCCCACTGACACCAATGGTGGGACACTATTCCTCACACTGACACCAATGATGGGACACTATTCCTCCCAATGACACCAATGATGGGGCACGATTCCTCCACTGATACCAATGATGAGGCACTATTCTTCCCACTGACACCAATGATGGGGCACGATTCTTCCCACTGACACCAATGATGGAGCACTATTCCTCCCACTGACACCAATAATGAGGCACTATTCCTCCCACTGACACCAATGATGGGGCACGATTCTTCCCACTGACACCAATGATGTGGCACTATTCCTCCCACTGACACCAATGATGTGGCACTATTCCTCCCACTGACACCAATGATGGGGCACTATTCCTCCCACTGACACCAATGATGGGTCACTATTCCTCCCACTGACACCAATGATGTGGCACTATTCTTCCCACTGACACCAATGTTGGGACACTATTCCTCCCACTGACACCAATGATGGGACACTATTCCTCCCACTGAAACCAATGATGGGTCACTATTCCTCCCACTGACACCAATGATGTGGCACTATTCTTCCCACTGACACCAATGTTGGGACACTATTCCTCCCACTGACACCAATGATGGGACACTATTCCTCCCACTGACGCCAATGATGGGTCACTATTCCTCCCACTGAAACCAATGATGGGACACTATTTCGCTCCATAAGACACACTTGGGGGGAGATGTCTGTGCGTCTTATAGAGCGGCCGGCCCAGTATTCCCACCGCCGTTGTATGTCCACAGTCTCTGAACAAATGCGGACACAGTACAGGAGATGACCATAGTTTTTTCTTTTAAAACTATAGTCCGGCCCTCCAACGGTCTGAGGGACAGTGAACTGGCCCCCTGTTTAAAAAGTTTGAGGACCCCTGTTTTAAACCTTTACAAAGTTTTGTTCAGTTTGACCAATATCTTGGTCTGATCATAATACAGTGGTCATGATTTGATCATCAATTTCCCTAAAATGCCAAGTCCATTTTGTCTCTAAATGAATTGCTTTTTAACATAAAGCAATATATGATGGGGATTAGCTAATGAGTGAATTTTCTATAAAAAAAAAAAAAAAGGATAAAATTCAGATCTTGAGGTCTAACTACAAATCCTACAAAGGTATTGAATTAGTTTAAGCACCAAAAATACTAATTTTATTTTCTGATAAATTTTAAGTAAATACCTGAACATGCTTGAAATAATACATATGCCAAAATAACTATTTCTAACATTTAAATAATTAGAAACGTCAGAATGACCAAGCACAGACAGCCCACTAAAAAAGATTTGCTTCTTATTCCAAAGGGATTCACTTTTAACTTTCTGTAAGGTGTAAGCATAGTTGGTTAATTTTGCTTTGCTGAAATTGTGACAACATTTCCAGATTTTAGATGAAATGTTGCCTTTCTGCAGTATTCATGCAAGTCAGTGGGGAATACAAAATTATGGTGGGTGAAGGTATTTTTAAGTCACTGCAAAGGACAATGCTACACACATAATGAGAATGAGTCCATATATTTAAAAAACAAAAAGAAAACATCAAATATAAATTACAGTCCTAATACAAATGTCAATCTACTCTTGGACTGATTGTAACATTGAGGATTTTGAAGCAGATTGACATTTGTAACAGGACTGTAATGTATGTGTGATGTGTTTGGTTTTTTTTTTATATGGACTCCTTCTCATTATATGTGTAGCGCTGTCCCTTTGCAATAACATTGATTTTTTTGTATATGTGGTGAGATCATATTTTGGCACAGCAGCAACCAGTTTTTAAAGTTCTGATCTTCCTGCAAACATTTATATCCATTACGAGTGCAGTTAGTGAAGTTATTTTAAGGTTTATTTTAGAAGCTTTAAAGTGATTAAATGGCTTGAGTCTTTTTTCCCCTTTTTTTAGCTTATTTAGTTGATTTTCATTTTTTATTACTCTAGGAATAAAATCCTTTTTTGGTGTAATTTATTAGTTTTTTTTACATATAAAGCAATAACATAGGCTGCAAAGGAAAAAAAAATACTTCTCTTTAAATTTTTCAAGCTATTTTGACATATATTTAAAAAATGGACTGCGCTAAGGTCACAAATAGACAACATAAACTGTGCAATCTTTAAAGTGATAGCACTGAGCGAAATACAAAATTAATATTCAGTCCCAACATGTGAATAATTGGTGCAATGGTGCTGTATCTTTAACGGTGATACTCCATATTGAAATGACAAGTGCTTCACTGTGTTCACACTGGTGCCCCACATAGATGTAAACTCACCATCATTTCATGACCACCTATCTCTAGGTAAGTCACACTCGCTTTTTGGGACTATCCTAGTTTGCAATCCGGTCCTGATGGCAGATATTCCTTGCCCTTATAAGCGTGGTTGCTGGTAGTAACCAATAACTTTCCACTAGATCTACATCAATGTTAGGCAACTCTCTCCTCCACAGGCAGTATTTCATATTTTCAGCTTAAATCAAAACAAAACAGACATCCCATAGTGTAAAACTGTATAAAGCTTTAATATGGGGTCAAACAATAGAAATACCACTCACAAAAAGTGCCTTTCCTGGCACTAGGTGTATTCAGCTTTGTATATTATGAATGGAAATTAAGATGGCCGCCGCATTCCAGCATACAGTATGTTCCAAATCCCAGAAGTGACATCAGCGGAAGTCGTGTCATAAGCCCTCGACTAGTTTCGACCAATAGATCGTCCTCAGGAAGTACAAAATCCACCATATTGAAGAGGGTATTTATATCCTTCAGTCACCAATTGTATTTCCAATTTTATTGCAGCTGTGGCACTCTTCTTTTTTTTTTTTCTAAAAATGATTGCAACATTGCTGAATACAGCCAGTGCCTACATAAATGATAAACATACATAAACAACAATTTAATTATGTATATATATATATATATATATATAAAAAACATCATTTTGAAAAAGGTCACTGCATGGTGTTCTTAACCACCTCCCGCCCACCATATAGTCCAATGATGGGCGCAAGGTGGTTCTCTCATTCTGGGAGGATGTCATATGATGTCCTCCCATTCTCACTGCGCATGAGCAGCTCCGGGAGCACGCAGCGCAGCAATCGGCGCTGCACTGTGTCCCTCGGACACAGCGGATCACCGATCCACTGAAAGAGCCAAAGACGTCGGCTCGGTCATGTGTCCAATCACAGCTAATCACATGTAAACAGGGAAATGTCGGTTATCTGCATTTCTCTCCTCTCGAGCTGTCATGCTGACAGCTCGAGAGGAGAGGAGAGCTGGAAGCCGGCATTCCGCAGAGGGGACATGTACACTGATGATCGGGGCACTGATGATCAGTGTGCCCTGATGATCAGTGTGGCCCCAGAAGTGCCACCTGTCAGTGTTCATCAATGCCAGCTGTCAGTGCTGAACAGTGCCACGTGTCAATACCCATCAGTGCCACATCAATGCCACATATCAGTGCCTACCAGTGCCCATCTGAACTGCCTTTCAGTGTCACACATCAGTGCCAGTCAGTGCCACCTATCAATGCCAATCAGTGCCACCTATCAGTGCTGTCGATCGCTGCCGCCTGTCAGTGCCGCCTATCAGTGTGCATCAGTGCCGCCTATCAGTGTGCATCAGTGCTGCCTAACAGTGCCAGTCAGTGCCACCTAACAGTGCCATATATCAGTGCATATATACAGTGAGGAACAGAAGTATTTGAACACCCTGCGATTTTGCAAGTTCTCCCACTTAGAAATCATGGAGGGGTCTGAAATTCACATTGTAGGTGCATTCCCACTCTGAAAGACAGAATTGAAAAACAAAAATTCAGGAAATCACATTGTATGATTTTTAAAGAATATATTTGTCTTGCACTGCTGAACATATGTATTTGAACACCTGAGAAAATCAGTGTTAATATTTGGTACAGAAGCCTTTGTTTACAATTACAGAGGTCAAACGTTTCCTGTAGTTCTTGACCAGGTTTGCACACACTGCAACAGGGATTTTGGCCCACTCCTCCACACAGATCTCCTCTAGATCTGTCAGGTTTCGGGGCTGTCGCTGAGCAACACGGAGTTTCAGCTCCCTCCAAAGATGTTCTATTGGATTTAGGTCTGGAGAGTGGCTAGGCCACTCCAGAACCTTGATATGCTTCTTACGGAGCCACTCCTTGGTTATCCTGCTGTGTGCTTCGGGTCGTTGTCATGTTGGAAGACCCAGCCACGACCCATCTTCAATGCTCTGACTGAGGGAAGGAGGTTGTTGCTCAAAATCTCACATTAATGGCCCCATTCATCCTCTCCTTATTACAGTGCAGTCGTCCTGTCCCCTTCGCAGAAAAGCACCCCCAAAGCATGATGTTACCACCCCCATGCTTCACAGTAGGGATGGTGTTCTTGGGATGCCCCTCAGCCTTCTTTTTCCTCCAAACACGACGAGTGAAGTTTAGACCAAAAGTGCTACTTTGGTCTCATCTGACCACATGGCTTTCTCCCATGCCTCCTCTGGATCATCTAGATGGTCATTGGCAAACTTCAGACGGGACTGGACATGTGATGACGTGAGCAGGGGAACCTTCCGTGCAATGCATGATTTGAAACAATAATGCCGTAGTGTTCTACCGACAGTGACCTTTGAAACTGTGGTCCCAGCTCTCTTCATTTCATTGACCAGCTCCTCTCTTGTAGTTCTGGTCTGATTGCTCACCTTTCTTATTATCAGTGATACCCCACGAGGTGAGATCTTGCATGGAGCCCCAGTCTGAGGGAGACTGACAGTCGTCTTTAGCCTCTTCCATTTTCTAACAATTGCTCCAACAGTTGATCTATTTTCACCAAGCTGCTTGGCAATTGCCCCGTAGCCCTTTCCAGGCTTTTGGAGGTCCACAATTTTGTCTCTGGTGTCTTTTGACAGCTCTTTGGTCTTGCCCATGGTAGTAGTTGGTGTCTGACTGACTGTGGGGTGGACAGGTGTCTTTAAAGAGCTCAGACAGGTGCTACTAAGTTAGACTACTGAGTGGAGTAGAGGTGGACTTTTTGAAGGCACAGTAACAGGTCTTTGAGAGCCAGAATTCTTGCTGTTTCTTAGGTGTTCAAATACTTATGTTCAGCAGTGCAAGACAAATAAATTCTTTTAAAAAACATACAATGTGATTTCCTGAATTTTTTTTTTAAATTCTGTCTCTCAGAGTGGGAATGCACCTACAATGTGCATTTCAGACCCCTCCATGATTTCTAAGTGGGAGAACTTGCAAAATCGCAGGGTGTTCAAATACTGTCAATGCCCATCATGCCCAATGCTACCAATTGTGGGCGAGTACCTACTATCTTTGCAATAGCTGGGGATCTAGTA